AGCGCAACTTAGCTCTTCCACAGCACACTGGCCAAAGTGATCCCTGAGTAGCGCAACGTAGCTCTTCCACAGCACATTTACCGAAGTGATCCCAGGATAGTTGTAGAGTTGTAATGTACTTATCAAGCTGTTTTTTTTTTTTTTCGGTGGCGGCTGTTGCCGTTGGCGCGGGCGAAGCTGCTGGCAGAGCACTTCACAACTTGCGCGTGGATGCTCAGGACTGTGGGGTTGTTAGATTTTTAGAACTTTGGACTTCAGCACGCCCGGTAGCCCAACTTAGCTCTTCCACAACATACTGGCCAAAGTGGTCCCTGAGTAGCGCAACTTAGCTCTTCCATAGCACATTGGCCAAAGTGGCACAGCACACTCACCAAAGTGGTCCCTGAGTAGCCCAAAGTAGCTCTTCCACAGCACACTGGCCAAAGTGATCCCTGAGTAGCCCAACTTAGCTCTTCCACAGCACACTCACCAAAGTGGTCCCTGAGTAGCCCAACTTAGATCTTCCATAGCACACTGGCCAAAGAGGTCCCTGACTAGCGCAACTTAGCTTTTCCACAGCACACTGGCCAAAGTGGTCCCTGAGTAGCGCAACTTAGCTCTTCCACAGCATACTGGCCAAAGTGGTCCCTGAATAGCCCAACTTAGATCTTCCACAGCACACTGGCCAAAGCGGTCGCCAAAGTGGTCCCTGAGTAGCGCAATTTAGCTCTTCCACAGCACACTGGCCAAAGTGGTCCCTGAGTAGCGCAACTTAGCTCTTCCACAGCACACTGGCCAAAGTGGTCCCTGAGTAGCCAACAGTAGCTCTTCCACAGCACACTCACCAAAGTGGTCCCTGAGTAGCCCAAAGTAGCTCTTCCACAGCACACTGGCCAAAGTGGTCCCTAAGTAGCCCAGCTTAGCTCTTCCACAGCACACTGGCCAAAGTGGCCCCTGAGTAGCGCAACTTAGCTCTTCCACAGCACACTGGCCAAAGTGGCCCCTGAGTAGCGCAACTTAGCTCTTTCACAGCACACTGGCCAAAGTGGTCCCTGAGTAGCCCAAAGTAGCTCTTCCACAGCACACTCACCAAAGTGGTCCCTGTTCACCAAAGTAATCCCTGAGTAGTTCAACGTAGCTCTTTGACAGCACACTCACAAAAGTAATCTCTGACTAGTTCAACTTAACTCTTCCACAGCACGCTCGCCAAAGTGATCCTTGTTCACCAAAGTAATCCCTGAGTAGTTCAACGTAGCACTTCCACAGCACATTCACCAAAATGACCTCTAAGTATTGACACCACATTCACCAATCTGATCCCTGAGTAGCTAAACCTAGCTTTTCCACAGCAACTTCACAAACTGATTTCTAAGTAGCTCATCTTAGCTCTTCCACAGCAACCACAGTTCTTAGTAGCGCAACTTAGCTTCTCCACAGCACATTTACCAAAGTGATTCCAAGGTAGTTGTAGAGTTGCAATGTACTTATCAAGCCAACAAAAGCTGCGTTTTTCTCACCCGTAGGCCTGTCGGTTGTTAGGTTTTTTAGAACTTCGGACTTCAGTACGCCGGGTCGCCCAACTTAGCTCTTCTATAGCACACTCACGAAGTGGTCTCTGAGTAGCCCAACTTAGCTTTTCCACAGCACACTCACCAAAGTGGTCCCTGAGTAGCTTAGCCCTTCCACAGCACACTCACCAAAGTAGTCCGCGAGCAGCCCAACTTAGATCTTCCACAGCACGTTGACCAAAGTAATCCTTGAGAAGCCCAAAGTAGCTTTTCCACAGCACGTTCACCAAAGGATCCCTGACTGGCCCAACTTAGCTCTTCCACACCACACTCGCCAAAGTAATCCCTGAGTAGCCCAAAGCAGTTCTTCCATAGCACACTCACCAAAGTGATCCCTGAGTAGTTCAACGCAGCACTTCCACAGCATGTTCACCAAAGAGATCCCAGAGTAGCCCAAAGTAGCTCTTCCACAGCACGTTCCCCAGAGTGATCCCTGAGTATTCAAGCTAGCTTTTCCACAGCACGTTCACCAAGGTGATCTCTGAGTAGCCCAAAGTGGCTCTTTCACAGCACGCTCGCCAAACTGATCCCTGTTCACCAAAGTAATCCCTGAGTAATTCAACGTAGCACTTCCACAGCACATTCACCAAAATGACCTCTGAGTATTCACACCACATTCACCAAACTGATCCCTGAGTAGCTAAACCTAGCTGCCTAGCTCTTCCACAGCACATTCACAAACTGATTTCTAAGTAGTTCAACTTAGCTTGTCCACAGCAACCACAGTTTTTAGTAGCGCAACTTAGCTTCTCCACAGCACATTTACCAAAGAGATCGCAGGATAGTTGTAGACTTGTAATGTACTTATCAAAGCATTTTTTTCCCCACCCGTAGGACTGTGGGGCTGTTAGATTTTAAGAACTTTGGACTTCAGTAGACTCGCTACTTCTGCACATCCACCAGAGTGGTCCCAGCGTAGCTCAGAGCAACCCAAAGAACACAGCACATCCACCAGAGTGGCCCACAGTGGCCCAGAGTAGCCCTTACACAGCACATCCACCAGAGTGGCCCCGAGTAGCCCAGCGTAGCCTTTACACCAGCACATTCACCTGAGTGCTCCCAAGTACCAGTTCCACAGCATATCCACCACAAGTTGACTTGGCAGGGATGCGGGGTTGCCAGGCATTAAAATATCGAAGTTCAGAAACCTCACAAGTAAGTACTCGATGTGTGGTTTTGTTTTCAATAAAGAATCCTTTTCGCGCCGAACCGCTTTTCTCTTGTGAAGACCAATTCTTTGAGGGTGGGGAATTTCGAAGTAAAGTAATTTCCTTGGATGTGAGAAGTTTAGTGGCGGTACATGATGTTCATGTTTTGTCTTTCGCGATGAACGCATGTCCCTCTTAGTTGTGAGCTCAGCATGTCGCTTCCTTGGCATTTCGGATTCAGACATCGATGTTAGCTTTTGCGCGAGAAACAATCTCGCATTCGCCTGTGCTTGCTTTGCTTTGCTTGTGAAATTTGGGGAAGCCTTCATTTGGTTTTGACCCCCTGTTTATCTCGGTTGCGGAGGGTGGCTCCCTCCACCACAGTTCGCAGACCTCTGCGAGGGTGTCAACATGGCAAGAACCACCGAACATTGTGTTGGAACTTTATGTGGTGCAAAACTGGGTATCAAAAAAGCATTAAACAAGTGCAGGAAACTGTAGCAAAAGGTCCGAAATGGTACGAAACAAACATGTTTCGGTGACCCATGCAGAAGTTTGTGGCCATAGCATGCTATTTATTGCCAACTAGCTTTTGAACTTTTCTTGGGTTTACCAACCAGGTCCACCTACAATCCCAATTATTTGGAAAGAGGGAACAAAGAGATTATCATAGTTAAATCGGCATTGTTGCAATAACATGATGCTATGTACACTTGTTCGGCTAGTGCTTTCCAGTTCTTGTCGCGTTCACACATGAAACAGGACTCGAAAGTGTGAGGTGGACACGGATCGGGAACACTTCTTATTTCGTAAGATTCGAGGGCAGGGCCGGGCAGGGCTAAGGATGTTGGATATGTTCAATCCATGTTTGATGTGGAATGTGTCTGGATTGTTACTTTGGCTCTTGGCTGAAGCGCAGAAACAGAACAGGAATCCCAGAGTTCAAAAACATTTGGAGAGAGTCTGGAGGCCTTACCCTTGTTCGTGCAAGCATATGAGGGATAAATGCTGTGTGTTGAATGCTTCTCTGGCAATCATCGGACCTCTATGGTGGATACGGAAGCTTGAATGACAAGTTGCTGTGGACTGGATGCTCGGCTGCTTTAAGAATATATATATATACATGCAGACTCGGATTGGAACAAGCAACTGGGAGTTTCCTGGCGTCAGGCTTGACATTCAGAACAAGACCAACAAAACTAAGCTGAGTAGGTCCTACACGTGTGAACATGTGTGAACCTACAAACCTTCGCTTGCGTCATCAGATCTTCAATTTGCATATGGCGTGGTCTTGAACAGCTGTCTGGTACGAGGAGGTTTCATAGGACTTGAGCCTTTAATAACGTCCGTTGTCATGCAAGGTAAGCATATGTGCCTGAGAAGTTCCAGATGTGTTGGCTGGCCAGTAAATCGGTCCAGCTGGGCACACACTGGCCTCTGAGATTGCAAAAGGCCGCCCTCAAGTCTCAAATTCCTCCCTTTGTCCAATTGCCCCTGGCAGGGTAACCATCCCAAAGATTGTTATCGACGACTTCGCGGAGGCAAAAAACACCTAGGACCTAGTTGTCATGGTTTCCGGCAACGCGTTGACTCACTTCGTTGTTACCACTCGTTTTGCAGAAGTGCATTCCTCGCTGACAATGAAATGGCATTCCGATGCTTCCATGAGAATTCGCTTCAAGTGCCTGAGAATTTGCTACGTTGATGGGATGGTCACAGTGATGAACAAAGGGGTGACCTAGCCGATTTTTGGAGGAGCACCAGATTTATTCATATCAGATTTGTTATTATATAACACTATCGACTATCACTATCACTCCATACTTTTGCAGGGGGTCGAGGGGTTTTGGAGATGAAGCACAATAAACCATACTGTTGCTGGTGCTGGTGCTGTTCCTTCCAACCGGTTGTCGAGTTTGTACTATATATCGGACGGTTCAATGTCGGCCTTGTACATTGCTGTCTTCACAGGGCAAGCCCACAAGAACGTGTCCAAAGAATTCAATTGGATGAACAGGATGATGGATGTTTGCTGTACTTATTGATCCAGACGGCATGAAGGCTACAATCTGCAAGTGGCTACAAGGCATCCTGCTTCCCTGTGCTGCTTAGCGGCGGATGTGGCTGCAAATTGCAACGCACTCAATTCTAGCGGTAAAACGAACTCAGCACCAGGTTAAGAACATTGTTTCTCGATGTTTCTCGTAAGCAGAAAGCTGCCTCAGTGTGGCATTCCCTGTCACCCCATGTTCGGTGCCTCAAAAGAACTGACACAAAGATTGCGCCCAGTTGTTGAGACTCTCACTGCTTCACGGCTCGCAGCCACTGTCTCCGAAAAAGCAGATGCAATGCTGTTGGCACTCACCTTTGCTTGAAAAGGGTGCAGTGCAAACTCTGTGTGTGGCTACAAGCTACGAGAACCTTTATGAACCTTTGCAATCACAAATTGTAACATTGCACAAATGGTCAGGGCTCCAACCTCCGAAACATGCGGATGTGCATGCTTCACGTGCTCCCCGGTTACTCCTGTGAACGTATCGGGATCGTTCACACCTCAGTTGATGTGTTCAAGGGAGAACAAAAGGGGGCAAGAGTAGCAGAGCGTAGCTTAAAGGGCTGCACTGGATGGCGCGTCGACAGCCTTGGCAAGGAACAATGCTAGAAATGGTCTCCAACCTACTAGCGATGGCCGCCAACCTAAGAGCGGTGGCCTCCAACTCAACCTAATACTATATATATATACCAGAGTCAAGATGCCCTGCAAGCATAAATCGTCATAAAACCCTTCAGGCCAAAACAACGTCTTGACCATGAGAGGAGTCCTTCATGATACCCACCTTGGAAATGCACTTGACCAAATTGCCTTCAAATTCAATCACTTGCCATGACTCCCAAGGGTGCCACAAGTCAGAGGCCTCTTGTGTAACCAAGGACTTTGCAGCTGGAGCCAATGGCCAGGCATGTGCTTGTGTATGTATGAGTGTGTGTGTGTGTGCGTGTTGTGCATGAGAAATTGTCGGGATGAATGGAATTAAATGTTTTGCAACCTATTCCTCCGCAGTTCAGGTGGTGTTCACAACTTCTGATAAGCTTTGCACATGACTTACTGGTGTGGACACTACAAATTGAATCCTTGCCGGGTCTTGCCAGTTCTTCTTTGAAGCACTAACTGCATGTTTTGAGTTTTCAAGGAATGTAATTTTCTGCCGAACCGTTTCTCTTTTTGGGCTGTTCAATCTACGTCTATCGCTGTCAAAAATCATGGGTCGAAGAGCTCCTCAAGGCTGGATCCCCAGCCATGGCAAGGAATTGTCGCTGAGAGCAACGTATCTCAAATCCCAGCAAAACCCTGAAAGATAAAAACATTAAAAATATGTGAGTGAACTAGGTTGAAATTGCTGGTTCCTTGATTGGGGTGGTCTGGAAAGTCTCAGCATCGGCTTGCAGTTCAGGGGATGATTCTCGCATCCGACGTAGATGTTCATGATTCTGTTGGTACTTCGATCCCTTCACCAAACTACGTGCCACATGTCTGCCTCGAGAGCCCTAAGGCAGCCCTGAAACCCATGGCTATGTTCAGAGTTCAAGGATTTTTCAGCCAACAGCGATAGCCTGAAACTTGCACGAAGCACACGCCAATCTGCATAATTAATAATCATTATACATCCCCCCGATTGTGACACCACTGCGATGGCACACTTGTTCACCTCTTGCTGCTTTTGTCTTTGAACTAAGTATCACAATAGGCGCATCTGTTGATCTGCGCTCGTGGTTCCGATACATCAGCTCCGATTCAACTCTGCTCCTTCCAACCAGCAAGAATGCAGGAAAAGGATTGTGTGACAATTCGACACATCGTGCTTAAATCACGACAGGACCTAGATTCATTGCAACTCCGGCGAAAGGGTCCTGAGAAGACAAATCTGGTGATCTTCGCGCAACTTCGCACCTGAAAACCCTTGCATATGCCATCCCGCCACCGTGTATTCAAATGGTGACAAAGTCATGGTCAAACAAGTTCCTGCTACTTGCCGTTTGCACTGTCCAAATTAATGCTGCAGGATAGCTTCCACTATCATGCTGAATATATCTGAAAATCCTTTTTCTTAAGTGTATTCGACTGATCCCAGGATAATTCCACAACCAAATCTGTGAAGAGTCCAATGAGTTGCATGATGTTGCATGTCATAGCGTGGCTTCAAGGTGCCCATGACGCCCATGACCACAACAGATTTGAAGCTTCCAACATCTACCATTGTCTGCCCACCGACAAAGTTAGCAAACAATGTGTGCTGTTATACCCGGTCCTAACAACTTGCACCTAGTTTGCAGCAATGCCTGCAAGAACGTTGATTCCATCAATCATCCTTCCACTTGGAACACAAACTCTAGACTAGGGATGCCCATGTATCATTACATAGAGGTTGTTGTCCGGTTTACTGTACGAAACAAAAGCAACACTGAATCCAAAAGAACGAAGCATTGATGCCTGCTCTTGTTCTCATGTCACCGTGCGCTCCCTGGACCACGTGCCCGCAGCACTTCCAGCCGACCTGCAAAGAAAACTAAAAGGACCGATTCTCACTAAAAGGTGTGACATCTTCCTGTTGTGATCTCAATCTTTGAGGGGGCGACGCCGACGCCACTTCAGCATCTCTAGAGTAACTGACCAACATTATGCCCATCACCTGTCACAAGCCATCTAGATTTCTGCCTCCGACCGTGCCCCGAGACTCCAAAATGAAAACTCGAGGGCAGGGTCCCAGTGTTGGCATCGTGCGCAATACATAGACTACTGCTTTGAAGCATTCTACAACTACAAAATTGTCTGGTGTTTTGTTGCACTGAAGTCTCAAAGAGCAACCCAAAGAAAGTTGAAAATATAGAAACATCAAAGTCTGACCTTTGGATACCTTTTGTCTAAAACTTGGACAAGGGATTTTTCTCTAAACCACCAATGTGTTTTTCTCGTGAAAGCTTAGGTGGGCAGGCCGGCGCAGCCAACTGGTGGGCGCTAGCCATTCAACAACAAATCACCAGTGTGGCCCCTGAAACATGACCAAGGAACAGCTGAATCAAGACCCCATTGTTGAAGGTGAAAGAATCTGGGAAGCATTTATTCGTATAGTATAGGATCAGATAGGATCAGTGTTCACTTAGGGTGTACAGCTCAAGGACGGTGTTCGCTTTGAATGTCCAAAAGTCATGTGTTGAATCTCGCCCATCTCACCCTTCCCAGCTGAGCAGCCCGACAGCAAGTTAGGCTTTGTCAAGGCGACGACCAATAGAAGCAGTCTTTTGGTGACACGCAGCAATCACAGCACCAAAATGAATCTCGTCGGCTTGCACCTGTCACAATTGCGAATGCGAGCCCGGCATCTACACCAAAAGTTGGCACACAAGAAGGCCTCCAAATGCCAGAAGTCACCTTGGTGGTCGAATTTTGTTTCTAGCTGAGCTATGCTGTGAGTACGTCGAGGCTCATGACCATACTGAAAACATGTCGCAGCGGTACTTGTTCTTTTCAGCGGCCAGTTCACCCAAAGCAGCAAAACAAATGCAGCAAGCAAAACACAACACAGCCCAGCACGGCCCGGTCACAGTCACGGCTGCTTGAGAAGCACGACCAAACGCTAGCCAAAGAAAGCCCAAACGCAGCTGAACAAGCTCCAACAAACCTGGAAGAGCCCATTTCGAAAGCGTCTAGGTTGGAGGCCATCGCTATTAGGGATGGAGGCCATCGCTAGTAGGTTGGAGGCCATCACTATTAGGTTGAAAGCTCAAACAAGCCTGGAAGAGCCCCAAACGGACCATTTCCAGATGGGAAACAGCACACGGTCAAGCTGCTGCAGCCAGCATTGTATCCCTACGAGAGAACCCCAACAGTCAGCAGCATATGGTTGTAACTATTTACATAATACGTAACTATTATGATATACACCTATATGTATTTCTATATGATCCTGAATGTGTACAAACATATCATGGCTTTGACAAGTTCGTTTTCGTCACAATGGGAACCCTGCCAAGCTGCCAAGGGTGTTGAGAGCCAGCTGCCAGCAAACTGCTTTCTCGAGGGCACACAGGGCTGCACAAAGGCCTCATTTACGGCATTGTACTGTGTGCAGTATGGTATTTGTTGCCTCTATGTCCAAACTGCAAGTATGTCCTGTCCAAGTAACTAATGGCATCTGGCTGCACCAGCATGCAGAGGCTTCCCAAAAGTGCCAACGTTGAGGTCCACTCATGCTCTGTTGCGCAAGCTGTCATGGCTGCACTGAAACTGGCCTTGTCGGAACGGAAACGTCTTCCCCTCATGGATACCAAAGAGAGGTTGGCCAGTTGCCAACGCCCAAGTGCGGTGATCCCGCTATTGAGCAGAATCTGGTCGCAGTGACTTGCAGCAAGAATAGCAACCACCAATTGCCATTGATTGCTGTTCTTTGTGGCAGAAACAAGAGCACTTGTGCTTGTTGGACTTGGCTGCATGGTGAACATCCAGAGCTCACTAAGGCCCTGCAATGCCAACTCCCACTCTCCGGCCTTCTCACAACAATACATGCAAGAATTCGCTGCCACCAAATTGCTCTGAGTGGCTATATTGGCCAGCTCCTTTTTTAATGACAGTGCCAGCTGCCAATGGAACCCATCAGCGCAGGAACTGATTGTTGCGCTTTGACCTGGATTGCAGCAATCAAAACTGGGGTGAAGCACTTTAAATTGCCAAGCCAACAAAAGAATACAAAAGAATGTTTTTTGTTCTAAACCTAGTTGAGCGTTGTTCGAAACCTGAGGATTGGTTCTAGTCTTAGTGGGTACTTACTTTACTTCGCAAGTTCCTTTCGCAACACTTTCGCTGCTTGTGTTGGCATTCGCGGGCTGCATTCTGCGTAAAGCCACTCTCACGAGCTTTCGACACCGAATTGATTTCGCAAGCTTCCACAAGCGCTCGCACAATCTCTCGCGAATCTTTCGCAACTGTGTGCTTGCCTTTCGCAAAGGCATCTTACATTAACCCCTCTTCAAACTGTTACATGGGAGGTTTTGGCCGCTGCTGAGTTGACTGAAGTGGACTGAAGCCCGGACTTATGACATCTGCACGCATGTTGGTTGACAAGTGCATCACTGCAAGCAAGTGCACAGCCTTCAGCCAGGTCATTGACTTCTCGCATGCACTGATGACCTGACTCAAGATATGAGAGGTGGTGGACTACAACTACTGATGGAATCTAAAGCCTTTGTAAGCTTGTTTTCAACGCTGGGCTGCTAGGCTTCTCAATTGGAATGTCTTGTGGTTCATGCCAAGGCACGGTATTGTAGCTCACATCATCTAGATCAAGCCAAATGGTGTGCCCACCACTCACCAGTGCTAGAGCTGGCTTCCAGTTACCCCGAACCACACAGGTACTTGCCAAGGCATTGAAGGTGATGACATTTCGCTGGACCGTGGCCTCGCAAATCTCCTGCTGCGTTCTTAACGCAAGCTGCCACATCCCCCTTTTCCTCAAAGTGGTCAACATCACAGTGCAGGACAAAGAATCCAGCTTGATGCCAAGGTTCAACATTCTTGCAAAAGCATCATTGGCTTCTTTCCACAAACTCTGGCGTGTTAGCTCTCTAAGATTTTTTGTGGCTTGAATGACCTCGCACTTTGAGGTGTGCCGGTGCTGCCTCACGTCAGCTCTGTAGACCATCAAAAACGGTTTCAAACGGTGGGACCATGGTCACACGCAGTTGCCTCACGTGCTGGTTCCGCTTGGCATCATCATCTGATCCGCCAGGCGCATGCCACGCATGCCTTCCCGTGCTCCGCATCTGAGTCTCCCCGTCACGACTGGACCATGTTGCCAAGTGATCGTCTTCGGCCAAAGATCTGAAGGAGCAAAAGTTACAGCAGACATCAGTCACTACTGTATCCTTCAATTTATTGACGTTCGCTGCAAGCAAAGTGACATAGACGAGTCCGCGCCCCGTTTTAAACGATAAGCATTGTGACATTGTGTCTGCGGATGTGGCAGCTATAAACAACGACAGGCAGTGACCTTCTACTCACACAGTGGTATCAAACCTGAGACCTCTTTATCTAGATGTATATATACTGTAACTATATATATATATATTCTCGTAGTCTCAATATAGTATAAACTTGGCTCGAGAGGGTCTTGTCTGCACTGTCTTGAAAAAGATCTGCTGACTGATCACCATTTGTCCATGGCATCAAAGGCTGCTTTCCAGGCGGTCTGCTCAACCTGCTCATCAACGAACAAGCGGTGTAAATCAAAACGTCCACTTCTCAACCACTGAGGTGTCCATTGATGTCCTGTTACGTCAAAGGGAAATGCCTTTGGCTCAACCTGTGAGGAATTTGACGACAGAAACTGGAAGAAGTGGATCTCAGGTGTTGCATAGCAAGGTGAGCGAGCAATCTGGTTCAAGTGATCTGTTGGTTCCTGCAAAATGGCTGGCCATCCCACCATAGGCCGGCCGACTCAACATGAGACGTGCTGAATTCCTGTGCATTTCCGGGCCTTGAATGAAGTATAATATAGTATAATACAACGTTTGTTCAAAGAAGGGCAGTGGATGGTCCGAAGAATCTACCGCAAGTAGTTGGCTTTTGCTCTTAGATTTCTCACACAACGCGTCCCTTCTGCGTCCTTTCTGTCCTTCTGTTCTCTCACACACACACACATCGCTTGCCTCAATGAAGCTGCTGTTGTTAAGCTTCGCTTGTGCAGCAATGGAAGAAGTGCTTCCTTGGAATCTTTGGTACCTGCAAATTCAGTCCAACTTTATGTTCATGCCTGGTTCATTTCCTAACCACAATGCTTCCAAGGGTTCCTTAATCAGAAGAATGGGATCGTTTTCAGGTCACGCATCTTGATGAGACCGGCTTGACCGGTGCTCTAGACACCGGGTCCAGCTGCCAGAGATGTTGCAAAGCCCACAACGAAAGCCTGGCTCACCATTTGGAAAGCGTGGGACAGGCAGTGTCAGAAATATGCACACGTACAACATACAAAATATACAACCAAGGATGGAGGACGTCTTTTGGAGATGGTCATTCCTTCACGCCCCAGCTCATGCCCTTGCACATGCGGTGATGCAGTTGCAAAAGTCTAACAAAACTGGGTGTAGCTTGCAAGCAACCACTCACTGCTGCCTTCAGCACGCAAGCTGGCCACGACTGTCTGTGCAACATCCCGAGAGTCCAAGTGCTGCTTGGCCTTTGCACGGCAGGGCAACTAAGCCTTAAGAGTCACCTTTAGTATGGCCTCCAACCTAATAGCGGTGGCTTCCAACCTAGCGATGGCCTCCAAAATAGCTCTGTCTCTCCAAGTACTAGTACAAAGCAAAAGCCTGCTACTGTGAACTCGGTGTCGCATGAGTGTGCCTCTAGCGAAGTCCGATCAAGGTGATTCGCAAGCGGCTTCCTTGGAGATATTGAGATGCAGTGACAGCCATTTTGTCCCGAGAATGTTGTGCAAGAACTTTGCTGTGTCATTTGCCCCGTTTAGCTTTGGCAAGGCACCTATGCTGAGTGGAAATTAAGTGCAGGGCACAGCTTTGTCACCTGACCGCACTGTATACTAGTCCGAAACTGAGTCCTAGTCTCTCTGGGTAACCGACAGAATGCGCACCAAAAACTACCATCGGCCTCACAGTCAGTCGAAAACAAAGCTCGAATGTACTCCCACGTGTGCATGAAATATGACCAGGCCTGCACCTTGATGCCTTCACTTTTCAAGGCTTCGGCATTCAAATGATCAAAGACCTGTCCAAGTCACGAGTGTGAAGAAACGTTTCTGACACCTGGAATAGTTTGGCACATTGCCGGATGCGGGAGTTTTGGGCTGGATGAAGACAAAAAGCTGTGAAGCTGGCGGCAAACTGTCCAATAAAATGAAAGTCATGTGCAGAATGGTCTTTGTCAACTCTTGCACTACCCCTCCTCGTTGTAGAGACTGAAATTGAATCTATATATATATATTATATAGTCGTTCGGGCTCTGAAAAAGAGGCATGATGTTGGCTAATGAAGGCATGCACGGTGTCAGATGGCTTGCAAGTTCAGCAGTGACATGAAACAATGTGGGACACAGCATTCTACTGATTAAGGCGCTAGGGCTGCTTGTGCAGCTTGTGCCACTGCTGTGTGTGTCGTGCTGGTGCTGGTGGTAATTGCTGCTGCTGGCAGTGGTGGCAATGACAATCCAGGCAATGTAAATAAATATGTAAACAGTGCAAAGCACTCTAACTAGCAGTTTTCCGCATGACCGCTTTTTTTGCATTGGCAAATATACAATGTGTTTGCTTCATGTTCCACAGCCTCTGCTGGTGTGGAAGCTGACAGTGTCAAGATGGATGGCAGAGGCCTCCAGAAAGGCAGAAACAAAACTAGAAACGAGCAAGTAGAGTAGAGGGTTCTCTGGGATCAAAACCATGGGAAGTCCACATCTGGTTGAGGAGGTATGCGTGGCTTCCACTGCAGGGATGACCACCTAGTGCCAATCCAGCTGAATGAAGCTCTAACGCTAACGGATGTGGAGGCTGCACCACTTCGCAGACTTAGCCACCCACTTTGGTTCTGCCAAGCCAGCTATTCTTAGCGCCCTTTCCAATTCCTGACCATGTGCTGCAGGCAGAAAAGCACATTACTGAACAAAGCAACTGACTGGCTGGCCTGCTGCACTTGAGCAGGTCTGCTTGCTTTTGCAGCCCAGTCGTCAAACAAAAGATGCCAAAATGTACGACCCACCTGCAAGGAAGTTGATGCACTTTTGCCACAAAAAACCACTCAGCTCCAAAAAGCTGCACCTGCCCCTCCAAATCAGCACCAGTATTTTGCTCCTGCTGATGGAAAGCTGTCTGCTGATTGCGTATAAAGGATGAAATAGACTAAGGCACTAACCAGTGTCAAACGCTGAATCTCACCAACCCAGACCTGACACGACAGGATCTCCAGAAAACCACTTACTTAAGTTTATCGAGTCAGTCTGAAGCCCGCCAGTTCCCCGCCCCACCTTTGCCAGTTCCGACAATTGGCTAGAGGTGGAATGCGAAGTCAGGGACCTGGGAAGCTTCAAAGCAGAGGTCGAGATCACTTAGCTGTGGCGATCTCCAGACTCAAAGGTCTTTTTGCCAAGTCGCGTTGACTGCACAGCAAGGTCTCGGTCTGCCGCTACCAGGCCTAGACCAATGATAGGAAAAACTACGAAGGCACAAGCTGTTGTATGTTCCTTATGGCTTCATGCGGAAGGGAATCGTCGCCCTATTCGATTGAACCACCCGGTCAGAAGCCCTGCATCAAGTTTGCTCGCTCTTCAGTTGCGTAAATGAATACAAACAGTATCCACACTGGCCAACACTCACTCTTTATGGTGACTTCGAAGATCTTTCGGGGGATCATCTCCGCCAGAAAAACTGATGATGGACTAAACTGTGCTGTACAAGTAGTAACTCTAGTATTGCACATGCGGTTGCGAGAAAAACATCCGGCATTATTTCAACAGTACCTTTGGCTCTGTTTTGCCAGAAGGTTTGGATCTAAGGACTGGTGGGGCTGGATCGGTGTGGGTTTACGTGATCCGTTTTCTTAGAGCCCAAAATATCTTTGTGGAAGTCCGAAAGCCGGAGGTCCCGGCGATCTTGAATTGCAGACCAAAGGTTGACATTGCGAGCATGGCCCGCACTTGCAAAGTGCTCCAGGCCTCAGCTGAAAGCGACGTCGACTGCAAACAACCGTAGTCCATGTTTCTAATATGCAAAATTGGACTCATGTCTGCTATTAGGTTGGAGGTCATCGCTAGTAGGTTGGAGGCCATCGCCGGTGGGTTGGACAATGTGTATCAAAGCTTGGCAGCTGACCATGTGCCTTACATAGCAAACACACCGGTTCGCCTGTCCCAGGCCAAAAGAGCGGTTGTCCAAATGAGCAAAACGCGGCGGGCCGTTGAGGTCGATCTCCACATATGGCACGCTGCCGGAGTGGGGCTGCCCCCTGAAGCCAAAATAGAAAGTCTAAAAAGTCGATGTCAGCAAAGCCTGCAATCATGTCTTCTAGGTGCCCACCTCGTCAAGTCTTCTAGGTTGCCTTGCACCTTGGGTAGCTTGTCCTTGGTTGGCAGAATGAGTCATGAGAGTTAGAGAAAGACAGGACACTTACTGGTCTAAGTGGTCCAAGTGTCCTCTGCTAAGGTGGGCGGATACATCCATTGTGCCGGGCCGTGCACGACCCTCTTGCAAAAGTAGAACAAACCTGCAGGAATGGTACAAAGCCATTCTCGATCATTCTCGTCAAAATGCCAAGGTCACAAAGGCCAGAAAGAATATCTGATGTTCAATCCAAGTCGGGTGCCAACATTTCTGGAAAAAACTGCTTCCTGGCATCGCTTGACACATGCACTGCAAAATCAAGATTGTGGTTCATAAGGATGCAGAACCTTGCAAGCCACACCCAATCATCTGGTGGCGAGCACAAAGGACGCAGAAGTCTGAGGTCACCATCTGAGCACCACGCCTGGCTTCGTAGTCCAAAGTCAAGCAGCATTCAGCGTGAACCAAGGGCACAAAGCTGCTTCGACTCTTCGACAACAGTCGTAGAGTGCAACAAAGCAACTTCAAACCTGCATTATCGGGCCTTCCAAAGCTTCTCTGCGAAACGAGTAGGAAGCCCCACTGCAGCATTCGCCTTGCTGCGCTTCATCATGCTTCATCAACATGTGGCTGAACCAAAATGTCGCAGCTAAGCTCGCCTCCACAGGATCTCCTTTCAATATTGAGACGATGACCCCTGACATCATGAACATCTGTGAACATCAACTGAAGCTTCAGAGACCCTTTTTGAGAGCTAGTTTAAGGCGGCGCACCTCTCTGGTCAAGAAGCTTGAAGCAAGTCTCGAGTCTGGGAAGCACGCAAGCGCAAGTTGCTCAAGGCTCCAACGGGCAAAAACTGGAATTGTTACAAGAGCTCACGGCAAAACGGGCAAGTCTAAAGGCAATGGCATGCAACGGCTCAAGAACAATGAGAGACGAAAAAAAGATACGGCAAGTCCC